TTAATTTAATAATAAGCTAATGTGTGCTGGTATATTATTTGTTTATTTGATTTAAATAGCTAAAGTTACCTGAAGTGAAGATTATACTAAATGACAAGTATTAGCTTTAATAATTGTATCCTGACAGCATTTTGTTATTTGTATGCTGATATTTTTCTTTTCTTTATTGTTGTTGTTGTAGAACCACACATACTGTACATTTTAAGAAGACAGACAATCATCTGTTGGCTGTCAATAAACCCCTTCAAGAGAGTCAGAGCATCCAGTTGCATTCTTACCGATGCACCACAGTGGTCACTTATCCCAACAAGCAATAATTACAGTCCTAGCTATCAAGGTCTTCGTTTCAGCAGTGTTTCCCAACCCTGTTCCTGGCGGCACACCAACACTGCGTGTATTCCTTGTCTCCCTAATCAAACACACCTGATTCAACCCATCAGCTAATAATCAGGTGGGTTAATGAGCTGATGGGTTGAATCGGGTGTGTTTGATTAGGGAGACAAAGAAAACACGCAGTGTTGGTGTGCCGCCAGGAACAGGGTTGGGAAACACTGCAATAGAGCATCATAGTCCCGCCCACAGCCCGAGAGAGCGCTGGTGCCGGAAGTAAATTTCCCATTCATTTTTCCCATTGACATTTTGTAAAATCCATTTCTAAAGAGTATTAGAGCATGTCTGAGGATAACCAGCTACGGCTGAACTCATAAGCATACAATCATTTCGAGTGAAAAAACGAAGAGAAAAAAAATCACAAAAAAGTCAAAGGTACAAGCCTGTGTACATATTTTCATTTCCGAGCAAAGGAACTACTCCTCCCATAAACCACCGCGCCTCACTGAAGTCGACTAAAAGCCACCGTGAAAGAGCCTTTTGAGTGACTTCCAAATCTGACGACGGCCGCGTGAACTTTTTCCTCCAGTGAATTTTATATAGTGAATGTGCAGGGAAACTCTTTTTCCTCGATTTACTGATGCACCTGCTAAAACATTGAGTATCTGGCTCGCTCATTGGCTTCTATGAGCAACTAGACATCCAATGGCGCGGGGGCGTCTCAGAAGTGCGACCAATGAACTTAGCCCTACGTCATTACGCGATCTTCAGTCTTGACGTACCTTCGGGGGGTTTCAGACACATGACACGACTTCCACCAATCAGATGCATCACTGCGGGATTGTTCAGGATTGTGGGTAATGAAGTACTTATCCAATACATCGCGAATAAAAGGCATTTATCTTAAAACAAGGTTAGTGCCCCATGAACTTGCAATCGGTTAGTACAGCCGAAGCTGGTTTTACGTCTACCACGTATGGTTACGTTTTTTATGGCTTATATCTCAAATGTCAATGGAGAAATTGTATTGAATTTTTACTTCCGGCACCAGCTGTGGGCGGGACTGTGATGCTCTATTTATACTTCTGCGCTCAGGTCTTGGTTGCTCTGCAGTACTGCTCCAAAACGCTAGTTGGCGGCAGAGGGTTTTAATGTTCCACTGTGTTTAGATTCCTCACGGCTAGGTTACTACAAGCAATGGCGACTGAAAGAAAAAAAGTTAATTTTAGTGAAATTACTAAAACTAAAAGGCATAAATGAGAAAAGACGTCGGAGGAGATGGTACGTGCGGAAATGCGTGAGAAGGTACGTGCGGAAATGCGTAGGAGGAAATGCGATGCTAACAAGCCGACCAATCACCAATCTTGCGGCCCGCGTCATCGCGATGTGTCGTTACATTTTTGAGGAGGTGCGCGTCAGGTTATGGCGAAGGGTACGCGGTATGGTACGCTTCTGTGCGTATGCTACGCCGTACCTACTGCGCGCACCCTAAGCAGAAGTATAAATTGGCCTTTATGATGCTCATTCAATTCTTAATACAAACTCTGCTTCATGCCCGGAACACATTATATGATATTGGGTCATCCCAAGTGAGATTTGACCAATCGTGGCGATTGATTTCTGTGGTCGTGGATCCTAATCGGTGGATCTAACTGTAAGTTCACACCGCCACCGGCGAGAGCGTCAAAGTGGCCGGAAGTCATTCATTTTCATTGAGAGCCGGCGGCGAGCTCCGGCGAGAGCGGCGCGGCGCGTTTCGGACGGCGAGCAGAGTTGAAATCAGTTCAACTTTATGGTAATAAGTAGGGATGGGGCCGATCCGATCCAGTATCGGTATCGGGACCGATACCAGCGTAATTCACGTATCGGATTTTTCCGATCCAACCTGCGGAGAAATCCGATATTTATGACCCATGTCTGCGCTTTAACGTTGTCTGCTAAAATGACTGCAAAAGGGATTCCCCGGGCCTGCTAGTCTGCTAGCTGGCTGCAAACTGTGGAATGGATATTCTGAACGGAGGTGCAGCTCAATCATAGACTGTAAAAAATAGGGCTCAATGAGACACACAGACCCCCACTCAGGAAATCCATTCCGCAGTTTGCAGCCAGCTAGCAGGATAGGATTGAGCTACCAACATGTTCGCTGTGTGGAAATACTTCACACTGGAAACACCGCAGCAGAGCAAGACCGCAAAATGCAATGTTTGCAAAGCCGTATTAATTAAACTAACGTTATTTGTCTGTGATGCATGTTTGCAATTCGCAGTCCAGAAGAGAAAGAGAGAGATCTCTCACGCAGACCCACAGCACGCACAACACGACAGCCCTGCTTAATGAGTGACGACAGAGGAAACGTAGCCTGGTTATATCTATGATATTAGTCTGATTTCCAAAGATTAAAGAATATATTGAGGTAAAAAACCATTAAAAACAATAGCCGCATTCTGTCTAGCCAACTTTCTTCCCATCGCGGCGGTGCGCTGTCATTTCTCCTTAATACTAAAACTTTAAGACAGAATCAGCACGATCTGTGATTGTTGTAAAATGCAGGCTCTGCTGTTGCTAAATTGCGGGACACTTTTAATAATAAAAGAGCTATTAAAAGCACAAAATTTGCGCAAGAAATGCTGTTCCCAATGCGCGCGCGGTCCGAAACAGACTGCAACAAGACAAGCAAATTAATCTGGGCTTCATATGCGCGTCTAAACGATCAAATGTAGCCTGCACAAGAAAAATGTCAAACCGACCGGCTTGGAGATTAACACTTAAACCGTTTATGTCTAAAATGAACGTAGTTATGGAAGTAGTTGGGAGAAAATATGGTGCATCAGTAGATATGAAATCTGAACTCGTTCTTAAAGGGGCAGCAGTATAAATGTGACTATTGCGACGTTACTGAGTCAAACAACAAAAGGCAAAGAGAAAATCACTCACAGCTCTTGAATGAATTACTTCAGCTCTAATAAGCATAAATCTATCTATGGTAAGCTTTGCAGTGCTATTTTACTTTTGATTACTTTATTATAATTCTTTTTAGACCATACCTGAATAATGTTTGTAGACCTTCCTGAAATTAAAGCACTGTGTAGGCCTGTATAATGTGTATCTTTGTTTAATTGTCTATCTATTGTTTAATATATATATACTGACATACATACGCACATATCATCCTTGCCTCTAGAGAGGAGTTTATTTCAACATCATATAAAATCAACAATAATGATAAATAATATTAAAGCAAACACAGCTCTGGTATCGGAAAAGTATCGGTATCGGCCGATATCCAAAGTCGGGTATCGGGATCGGATCGGAAGTGAAAAAATGTGGATCGGTGCATCCCTAGTAATAAGCAATGACGCGGTTCGGCGGCAACAATCGGAATGTAGAAGTGCTCCGTTTAAGAGAATCCCAGAGAACGCAGTCCTGTAAACTTTGGTTCCAGCCACATTAGTTCCCAAGCAAAATAGAGGAGGTTGATAATTTGAATTTGATAAGAGGGCGCGCAACACTATTTATAGGCAAGATTTTCGTGCTAGAACACTTTTTTTAGCGAGAAAGCAAATTATATAGCACTTAACCATGAACACACAAGCCACACCACACACGTATGGCTTTTAATTTGTTTATTTCGTTAGCAAACATGTCACTATAATTTTAAAGTTATTTCCATCGATCAATTTTCTGCAAAAATAACGACTGACATGCTTGTTTGCTTTGAGGCCCCTTTAAATACCGTTTTAAAAAAGATCACACATTCGATCTACGTCAGAGCATCCACGAATCTTTCCACGGCGTCGTTAACAGAGCGGCAAGAGCGAATTTTGCCGCTCTCGCCGCCGGCGGTGTGAACGTACGGTAAGGCATACAGTTTCTCTCGCGCGCAGACACCGGTCTCCGTGATACGTCTTGTTGTTTCATGTCTCTCATGCTACGGCCAATGTAAGTTACTGTCATTATCGTACAGTCTACATTCATGTCGTACCCGAGATTAAGAGATCTATGACATTTAGGATTGTGTAGCAAGCATAAGCTGTGGTGGTTCAATAGATTGCAGACATGGTCACAAAGCAAATATGATGACAGGTGTCAGAATTTACATCATTATAACTATTTAAAAGTAACCATGAATTTTGATGAAATTATTTGTGTTTTGTTGTTTCACAGAAAAGAGGGGAGTTATGATTTTTATTTATTTATTATCACAGAATAACAAAGTGCAGGGGGCTTGTATCCACCCTTTATTTTATATTATAATAAAACTGACTTTTTGCAAGGCTACTTGGCATATAAATGAATAAATGGACATAACATTGATTTGAGTCATCTATTATTTAATAACGTAAGAAACATGAGACCGCATACGGATATAACGAGAAATTAAACCTCTATTAGGAAATCGGTTTCCTGAGACAACTGTCAATTATGCAGATTAGAATCATTAGATAATATTTCATTGGAAAAAAAAAATCACAATCAAATACACCAGAGAGCTATATCTTTCACAGGTATAAAAGACATAAGGGATAAAATATATAAGATGAATTTAGATACATTTAGGACACTTTTATACAGCTAGGTGACTCAATTTTTATCTATATCTGAATGATATCAGTAGTTATAATAAGTAGCTGAAACTGTTTATGTTATATAAGAATGAGAGGTGCGTTTACCAGAGCTGGTTTCCCACAGCGAGCCGCTCCTAACAACGCCAGACTGTGGTAGAAGTGGTACTTGTTTGCTGTTTCAAACAACTGAAGACACAAAAAGAACAGAAATGTCATTATGTTGTGTTGCACCTTGTCCTGAATAATAACTATAAAATAATGCATCACATTTATAATGATGCCTCAGCTGTTATAATGTGAGGTACATAGAGAACAACAATTATCTTTTAAGAATTACCCCAGCAACCAGCACGAAAAAAAAAAAAAAAAAACATGCTTTGGTAAATCATAAATATGACATATATTGAGATTATAAAATACCAAGTCATAATTATCAGATAAAAAGTTATAATTATGAAATAAAATTAAAAGGATATACTTAGGTATAATTATATCAAGGCATAATTGAAATAAAATATAAAAATATCAGTTTTTACTTACCTAAAGATTATTTATCATAATGTCGACTTTTTTACATCATAATTGTGATTCACCAAAGTATTTTTTTCTTATGTGGCAGAAATGGGCATACCCAAGTCCTTACAGTACACAATGAATAAACTAGATTTTTTTTTAGTAACAATTGCAAGATGAACACGTGACAAAGACACGGAACATAAATAGCCAAATAAATAAAGTTTAAATTATAAGATAAATATAATAAATTAGATTAAAAAAAATAAGATAGTTTTTAGTCATTATTATGAGATAAAAGTTTATAAAGATATACTTGAAATTATAAGGAATAATTGAAATTATTTATCAAAATATCAAAATGATGAAATACCAAGTTGTAATTATGAGTGAACAAAAGTTTGTCAATAATTGTGACAAATAACATATTTTACAGTTTTGACGTCAAAATTGTGTCAAAATCATGATTGACAAAAGCATGATTTTATTTTAGTTTTTATACCAAATAGACAAAACCGTACACCATAAACCCGTTTGTTTGTTTTAATTTATGCAATATGCACAATGTGACACAGAACATAAATAGCCAAACACTCACCTCTCTCTGGTATTCACTCGCTTCACTGTGTCGGAAGCCTGTCCAGAAACAAACACACGCAAGAGTAGCAGAAAAGCTTAAAACTTTGGGGCAACGTCAGTCCAAGTAATGTGCGCACAGTCAGGCAATCTTCATAACGCAGCAGTCAATAGTCTGAAGAGTCCAGTCAGCCAAGCAAAACACAATCTCCCAGAAAGAACACTTACCGTGAGCTCCATAAGCACCTGCTGCGACTGCAAGAGCTCCAGATATTCCTGCCAGCCTCTGGACCACTGAAGCAGCGTTCATGACTCCAGAATAACCTGGGAACAACTAATGTCAAAACATACAGGAAACTGGGGTCATTACGGATCTAACAGGAAGAGTGACGCTATTCACTCGGAACTACGTGCGTTGAGCCAAGATGGCGTCCAACTGCACAGTTGCACATCACGTGAGTCCTTCCGATAACTATTATCCATGCGCTTATCATCACCCACTGGGTGACACCCAGGTTCATTACGGTGATCAAGATCAAACGCATTACACGATATTGTAAGTACAACAGATACAATTGAATTATAATTAGTTTGTGTAAAATATTACACGACGCGAATTTCCGTCAAGGTCAGGGAAACACTTAAGTTGTTTTAATTTAATTTAATTTATTTATTTAAAAAAAAAATATTTGTTCCTTTTAGATGTGTAACCCCATATTCGTTTTGAAACCACAACAAGCGAATGCAGTGACTCCCATTCACTGTTTCATCAAACAAGTTACCTTGAACGCCGACCGCCACTGCACTGCATAATGTGGTTCGTATGAATTATTAATAAACCGCCATTTCACTTCAAAAAGGTTATTAAATCTAATTCCTCTGGTTTATATAGGTTCGTGCACATTTAATATATTTTACACAAGACGTGTTTGTGCAATTCTAATCATAATGCTTTAAACCCAATTATACTTTAGTAGTAATAGGTACAAAACAATTCTATTTTATTTCCTCTGTGCTCCTGTTTGGGGAATAAAGACCATTTTTAAGTTTGTTTACATCAAACACGCGGGCTTTTACTGTCCAGTGAGGGGCGCTGTTTTACTTTGACTGTTGGCTAAGCTTGTGTAGAAAATTACATTTTTTTAAAATCCTGTCCTTGAGTAAAAAGCTTTGGTCCAAATTTGTAATGAACACAAAATAATTAAGTATGCAGAACAGAATAGACCAAAAAACATTGATTATTTGACTCACTGAAAGTATCACTTAATCTGTGTGTGTAGTGGCATACTGTAACACAGCTGACAAACTCACCAGAAAAGAATAGCATTTTTCCTCTGCTTTTTTAATATCAAAAGGGTGTTTAATGATTAAGCTTTGCAACTGAAAGATAGATTACTCCTATAAAACAGAAACCAATAGTTGATATAGCAGCTATCCCCTAAACATTACACTCACACAAACAGTTTCTACAGTATGTTTTATAAGCCACTCGCCTCTTTCGGGCTGCTCCCCGTGATGTACAGTAGGTGATTTCTATTTTACTGTCCTAGTGGGGAAATCTGGTGCCCAAAATGTGGGCAAATCCACTCGTAGATAAACCTCTTTGACAGTGCTGATGATATATCATATCATATAATATCATATAAGATGATATTTGTGTGCTTGTTCTCTGTGCTAGTTTGCATTGCTTGGCAAATCCTGCACTGTCATGTACTGTACAGTTCTCTTAATAGGCTGTGCGCGTATGGGAGCGAGGCAGTCGGGCAGGGAGTTGTACAGTGTTTCAGTCAGTCTGTTCCAGCAAAAAGGCTTTGTTTTCTCGCTTGCCCTGTTTAGCCACTAACACCAGATGAAATGACAAGCACAACCATGAAGCATACCAGCATTAAAACCGCATGCACTTGATGCACTGGCTGTCTCTGTCAAGGCTTTCTAAACCAAACAGCAGTTTTCATTGAAGCAATTCCTCCCGCTGACTGTCCGTGTGTTCGCTAGGTTTGATCTGAATCCTCAACTGGGAAGGTCGTTTTTGTTTGGTAAAAACTCAGAGGGCCCTATTGCACCCGGTGCAAATGACTTAGTCCACTGACGCATGTATCATTCCTATTTTGCACCCGCGCAAAGTGGGCTTTTCCCTCCAAAGACACACGCCGGTAAACTAGGGAATGAACTTGCGATTCCTGGGCGGGTCGGCGCAAAATGGAGGCGTGTTTCGGCGCAAACATTATAATAACCCGCCATTATAATAACAATCCGCCATGTAACATGCGCCCTTGCTTTTAAAGGGTATGTTGGATGACGCTCTGATTGGTTTATTTCATGTTACGCCTCAAACCACACCTATGAATAATGAAGCTACTTCAGACCAACCCCTTTAAAGGAGCAATGTGTGATTTTTAGCGACATCTAGTGGTTCGGTTGCGAGTTTGCACCAGGTTTGCACTAAGGGCTCAGCCCACTGATCACCCCTCCCTTTCGAAGAAGCTACGGTTGCTAAAACGGGACAAACATCTCGTCGGCTGAGACAGCAGAGAATAGCCAGAGTAAGCCAAGAGTGTGTAACATTGTCACTGTTTCTGTACCACAGTCCATTATAAACCACATCATGAATACTGTTTACAAAGCCATAGTCAGGTGAGGATCAAGGGTTTTAATATATAATTTAATATAATAATAGTAATCAGCTGATTGTCTCACAAACGTAACCAGCAGCACATTTCTCCCCACATACTGTAGCAAACCCATAATACAGCGAGGGAGCAGCTATATATTTTTTCTAACAGGGTAGTAATAGTTTAGCTGGCTAATATGAGCTGTTACTGTGGCTGAGCTGGGACGCGTCCGCATCGCATGAGTCCAAAGGTCGGAAGTGCGCGCGCTGTTACAATCATGTCATCTCCACATCCCATAGATACTATTTACTACACACAATAGGCTTTTTTCTCTGATTTTGAAAACTCTTCGTGATCGACTTTAGTGATCTAAAAGTCTCTATCGACGGGTTAGTGATTCCTGTAACGTACTGTTTTACGGTCAATGACATGAATACTAATCATCAGCTGTCTCACGAACGTAACAGCACATCTATCCCCAACATAACAAACCCATAACACAGCGAGGGAGAACTAAGTTACATGAAACAATCCCAACTACATATTTTACACCACTCACAAGGGAAAAGTCACTACTCACGGAGTGTAAGGCTAGCTTCCAGCTTTCCGCTACTTCTCTTTCAAGGTATGATGAAACGCGTTCTGTAGCGCTGTTTGTTCGCGTTCGGCTACGGTAGGAATATGACGTCACAACATGGCGACCTTCATAGAAGGGGATTCCCGCGGTTATGGAGCTATTAATGTCTCATTCTAAGGTAATAAAAACATTACGGCTAATTAAGTAAGTTCTTTATACACCACTGAAAACATAGTTATGGATGTCATATTGCATTTCTGTTAATAGATACTCAACTTTTTTACACATTGCACCTTTAAAACTTGCGTCGGGCGCAAGAGTATGGAAGCTTGTTTCCGCCACTAAATAAAAAAATAAAATAATTGCGACTTTTTGTCTCACAATTGCGAGATATGAAGACAGAATTGTGAGAAATAAAGTCGCAATTCTGAGATAATAAGACACAATTCTGACTTTATATCTCGTAATTCTGATTTTATATCTCGCAATTCTGACTTTATATCATCCAATTCTGACTTTATATCATCCAATTCTGACTTTATATCTCGCAATTCTGACTTTATATCATCCAATTCTGACTTTATATCTCGCAATTCTGACTTTATATCTCGCAATTCTGACTTTATATCTCGCAATTCTGACTTTATATCTCGCAATTCTGACTTTATATCTCGCAATTCTGACTTTATATCTCGCAATTCTGACTTTATATCTCGCAATTCTGACTTTATATCATCCAATTCTGACTTTATATCTCGCAATTCTGACTTTATATCATCCAATTCTGACTTTATATCTCGCAATTCTGACTTTATATCATCCAATTCTGACTTTATATCTCGCAATTCTGACTTTATATCATCCAATTCTGACTTTATATCTCGCAATTCTGTCTTTATATCTCGCAATTCTGACTTTATATCTCACAATTCTGACTTTATATCTCACAATTCTGACTTTATATCTCGCAATTCTGACTTTTATCTCACAATTCTGACTTTATATCTCGCAATTCTGACTTTATATCTCACAATTCTGACTTATCTCACAATTCTGACTTTATATCTCGCAATTCTGACTTTTATCTCACAATTCTGACTTTATATCTCGCAATTCTGACTTTTATCTCACAATTCTGACTTTATATCTCGCAATTCTGACTTTATATCTCACAATTCTGACTTATCTCACAATTCTGACTTTATATCTCGCAATTCTGACTTTTATCTCACAATTCGGACTTTATATCTCGCAATTCGGACTTTATATCTCGCAATTCTGACTTTATATCTCACAATTCTGACTTTATATCTCGCAATTCTGACTTTTATCTCACAATTCTGACTTTATATCTTGCAATTCTGACTTTATATCTCGCAATTCTGACTTTATATCTCACAATTCTGACTTATCTCACAATTCTGACTTTATATCTCGCAATTCTGACTTTTATCTCACAATTCTGACTTTATATCTCGCAATTCGGACTTTATATCTCGCAATTCTGACTTTATATCTCACAATTCTGACTTTATATCTCGCAATTCTGACTTTTATCTCACAATTCTGACTTTATATCTCGCAATTCTGACTTTATATCTCACAATTCTGACTTATCTCACAATTCTGACTTTATATCTCGCAATTCTGACTTTTATCTCACAATTCTGACTTTATATCTCGCAATTCGGACTTTATATCTCGCAATTCTGACTTTATATCTCACAATTCTGACTTTATATCTCGCAATTCTGACTTTTATCTCACAATTCTGACTTTATATCTTGCAATTCTGACTTTATATCTCGCAATTCTGACTTTATATCTCACAATTCTGACTTATCTCACAATTCTGACTTTATATCTCGCAATTCTGACTTTTATCTCACAATTCTGACTTTATATCTCGCAATTCTGACTTTATATCTCACAATTCTGACTTTATATCTCGCAATTCTGACTTTATATCTCGCAATTCTGACTTTATATCTCGCAATTCTGACTTTATATCTCGCAATTCTGACTTTATATCTCGCAATTCTGACTTTATATCTCGCAATTCGGACTCTATATCACGCAATTCTGACTTTTATCTCACAATTCTGACTTTATATCTCGCAATTCTGACTTTATATCTCGCAATTCTGACTTTATATCTCGCAATTCTGACTTTATAACTCGCAATTCTGACTTATCTCACAATTC